AAATAATTAGTGCTATAGAAATAATTAGTGCTATAGAATTTAATTGGATTTGTTTGCATAAATTTTACCCAGATTTTAGCCATTTTGGACTAAGGTGAGAAACAGTTTTTATGTTCTATTCAGTCTGTATGTCCGGCATTTAAACCATTTATGTCTTTAAAACAAGGTTTACAATTTCTTTCCTTCCAAAAAAAAATGTATAACGCTTTTTCATAAAGAGCACCACGCCATTAAAGCTGAGGAAGCTCCTCTAATTTTATAAAGAAACAGCATTTTGATTAATTTATTCTGGATCTGCATTAATGCAGACAGTAACATCTCTGAGGTTTTCCTCAAATCAGCTGCTCCCTTGGTTTTCGGTGGATTCAGAGTGAAGGTCTATTGACCTAAATTCAGTTTTAAGGCGTTCACACAGGAACTGCATCACTGATCAGCCCCTGAAGACGCAGTGGGAATGCTGGCATCTTCTGCAGCTCACTCAAATATCTCTCCAAGCTAAAAATACTTCATCCCATTCTCTTAAAGATAGGACCTGCTCTGCATTAAGACTAATTAAATGTTTTAACTTTGGACTCTACAAACATTACGTTGCTTTTATTAACAAATGTCACATTTGGGATTTTTAATGACAGCCATGTATTGGTAATCAAAAAAGCACCATCACACCATGTGGATGAGGGAATCCTGCAGATTCCAGCTATGCTTGATAAACATGTGAATGTTTTTATTTTACACCTGACAGCAGCATGTTTAATGCTTTAAAGGTGGTGGATCCTAACATCTGTGTGTGTTTGTGGTCTGTCAGCTTACCTGGGATGAGCAGCTGGGTCCAAATTAAACAGAGGGAGAAAAACATGGTGAGGAAGCCTCCTCCTCCTTCTCCTCCTCCTGCTTGTCCTCCTCTGCTGCGGTTCATGCTGCTTTCCTGCGGCTCAGACTGGAGCAGAGATCCTCTCAGCGATGTCAGGGATCAGCGAGGACAGCAGAGGGGATTGTTTTCGCTCACAGCAGCTGTCGCCCCGTCCTCTTCCACCGATCGTTCCCCGCCCTGCGGTGCCCTGCAGCGGCCAGAGGGGAGGAGGAGCAGCCGGTGTGGCGGTGGAGGAGGCGGCGGCTGTTTGCCTCCGAGTCTGGGATATAATGAGGAGAGATGACGATCAGCTGGGGATGGAGGGGGGGGAGAGAGGGAGGGAGACTCTTCAATAATACTTAGAAACTCATTTTCTACGGTTAGAAAGACGTAGAGGTCATTTTTACCCAATAAAAAATAAAATAAACGTTTCCTGTTTGAATTATTGTAAATTAAACCGTCATTAACCTGGTGGGAAAAAACTCTCAAAGCTCAATCACCAACTGTAATAGTTACCAAACCAATAAAGAGATCTTAAATTACCAAACAAATCAGTTAAATTCTTCCAACTTACCCAGTCTAAATATGTCAGCTATCGCTTTCATTCTAGCTACATGCTAACATAAAGCTACTTACTAACATGCAGCTACATGTTAGCATGTAGCTAGCACACCACTTTCTTTATTAATATTTGTGTAAAAACGATGAGCATAAAGTCTTACAATTGCGAGAGTAAAGTCGTAATATTACGCAAATAACTCACAACGAGAATGGTCATAAAAATACGAGAATAAAGTTGTAGCTACATTAAAAGCCATGAATTCTCATAATGTTTCGACTTTATTCCCAAATTAAAAAATTAAAGAAATCTCTAGCCTGGCCCAAATACTCCCTCGTATCACTAAAAAGGTTTCCGAACTACAAAAGTATAAAGATATTTAGATTATTTATGAGCTGTAGGCATGTTTTATTTTCCATTTTTCCTACTTGTTGTCAAGGAAGTTTAGGGTAAAAAAAAAATGGCTGCTGGTGTAACAGAAAGAGATGTTAACAGCAGATTTGGAAACCAGGGATAAAATTATCCGAAAACAAAAATTACATTCCAGGTTTTATTTATAGGAAAATTGGTGATTTTGTCTGTGAATATTTTAAAGATTTATCGTAAACTAAATCTAAATATTTTTGCAAACTCAGTGATTGACAGTAAGATCAGCCATTTAACCATAAAATTAAGAAGTTAGATTTTCTTTAGTTACTAATTTCAAAAAGTCAAACTCATATAGCCATAAAGCTTCTTGTAAGAGCATTATGGGTCTTACAAGAAGGACAGTCAAACGCGTGCGTCTCAAATGTGAAACATAATACAAATACACATTGTGGATTAACCGATCTATCTTCCAGCATCACACGACAACCATCACCAAGACTTCTATAATGCGTTTTTACTGGTTTTGGTTATTAACACGGATGCGACAGTGACAGCTGCTGCCACTCACCACATCAGCAGGGCTGGCAGGTGTCACTGACTCACATTTTCCAGCCCAAAAATTGTTCCCAATGCGCCTGGATGTACGAAATCTCGCCCAATTTGAACCAAAATCTATTGATCTCTTAGGCCATAAATCTAAAGAAAAACATTTTTTACCCATAGACGGTCATCCTAAACTGCCAGACTGGGAAACATCCCAGCCTGGCAACAATGCATGTAAGATGGGAAACGTTAGATGTAAAACTCCATCATGCACCACAACATATTTTTGCAAAATACACAAACATAAATTCGCCAAATATAAGAGGAACATTGTAGTTTGGTTTAAAGCAAGTATTTTAGTTTTATTATAATTTAGTTTGTTGCAAGGATTTTTACAGTTTGAAGAAATAGAAAATTACACCATATGCTAACCGTCACAAGGATGTGCATGACAAGGAAGGGCTAAATATACTGCATGCATCATTTAGGTAGTTAACATTGGATTACTTTCTAAGTTCCTTGAGTTATTTACTGTCGCAGGTAGGTGCCTCACATTTCCAAATATATGCGACTTATATGTGATCATCTGTGTGAACTGCAGTCATACCGCATGCGCAGTAGAGAACGCAATGACATCACAGGCCAGCAAGCTCTGTGTTTACGGAAGTAAGCATGGATGGTAGTACCATCGCACATCTGACAATCTTTCCTAACCATAAAACACAATCTTTTCAAGGTGGTTAAACATAAATACTGCTCTCCGCATCATCATCTGCCATGGTTGTTGTTTTTCTTGCCGCTTCTTCATAGCAAGACCCAGAATAGTGACCTTTGTCGGGTATTAATGGCGTTCAGGTCGGATGAATGCGACCTGGCCGTTCAGACACAGGTCGCATTTGAAAAGATCAGATTCGTATCGGATTCAGGACCGCATAGCCAAGTGGTCTGGGTCGCATTGGAAAAAATCACATCTGTGTTGTTCAGACAGCCATGAAAATATCAGATACAGGTCGCATATGGGCAAAAAGATCGGATTTAGGTCACTTCAGGCTGCAGTGTGAATGTAGCCTAAGTGTTGGAGCCGGTATGATTTAAGGAGGGCCGGCCCTCGCATGCTGAAATTAGGACCAGACACAGGTCACATGCCCGGTATCACAGATTACCAGTCTGAGCCTGCAACGCGCTATTATCCAAGTCATCTTGAAAACATTCTTCTTCCAAATGTTGGCTAGATATTACGTGTTTTTTCTCTGGACAGAAGTTCGATGGCAAATCCTCCCTCTTCAAGTTGGCAAATCCGACAACGAACCCGTCCGTGGAGGATCAGGAATCGGGATAACTGATTTTTATTCACTTTTACCCGATGTATTACACATCCAACTGCCATGCACGTGGTGTCAGCTTAATTATAGCTCTTGTGAATTTCAATGGTAAAGTACTCTGGAAATCTTCAATAATCATTGTTAATTGCAGGTGTGTCTAGTAGGTCCCATTGATTTTGCTTGTAAAGCGGGAAGAATGGCGCTAGGCTTAAACAAAATTATTAATTTTATTTTTCTACTGATTAACGCCAAATTCATTAAATTACAGCAAACGCATTAGTTTTAGGAATAAATAATGATTCATTGACTTTTCCTTTAAGCATCATGGGTCCTCCATGCAGTTATGATGATGATGTCTAATGTTTAAAATAATGTTCATTTAACTATACTGGTGTTTGTATCTTAGTTCATATCCTCATTTTTTATCTCTTTGGATGTTTTGAGTTTTTTTCCATGGAAATGAAAGTGACCTTATATGATCGCTATATCTCCTTATTAATTTGCTTGTTTACTCCATTTAACAACTTTTATGCTTGTTTTGAGAGAGAGAACACTGCAGCTGCAACGAAGGCAGCCATTACCCCAGACCAGCCACTGACTCTCTCCTCTACTGATGTAGGAGCGGTCCTGAACAGGCTTAAAGCTAACGGGTCATGATGTCATCTCTGGACGTGTCCTCAGAATGTGCTCTGGGGAGCTGGTAGGAGTGCTGACTGAAAACTTCAACCTGACCCTGGCTCACACTGTGGTACCGACACGATTAAAGTCTACCTCCGTCGTCCCGATCCCCAAAAACTCCAGCCCATCCAGACTCAATGACTACCATCTGGTAGGCCAGATTCAAAGGCCCATTATGTCATAGTGTGTCGTCGAGGTCTGGTCGGATTCCAAGAATCCTCGTTATTTGGCCTACAAATGCATCCTTCTTTATGCCCGATTTGAAGGACGGGTCTGGTGTATCCTCCATAGCTTTGGTTTTCCCAGGATTCATTGTGGGTCCATGCTCAGAGCAAAAAGGTACTTAGTTTTGAATATTGAAAGTTCTCTGACTGGCTTCTAAATACATTACAGCCTGGTTGGCAGGGGATCAACAGGCAGACCTCTCAGGTCTACTGGATCAGATCCACTCTGCAGAACCATAAAGTGCATTAGGTTTCTGTCATTCTGCATAAAACTGGAAAAAACAGACATTTACTGGGGTTGATTTAACTGAATACTTTTATACTAAAATGTTTTTCAGCAATTTGAAAGAGAAATTTGTTTCCAAAGCTATAAAGGTTATTCCTTACCTTTGAGGCATTATAAGCAGCAATTTACACTAAGCAGCCAAATTCTTAGCAGGTTCTTGAAGCAGCAGCTGCTGGTTCCTGCAGTATTTGCTTATTCTGTCCACTAGATGGCGCTTTAAGTGCAGATATCGCTTCACTTTTTAGTTGTTTTGAGGAAGACTCCAACCCTACATGTTTTTTTTGTTTTGTTTTTTGCAACTAATCTTAGAAACGCTCATCATAGAATTAGGATGTTTTTAAATCATGATGTTTTTTTTATTGCCTAACAGGGAAAATGCACACTTGAGTTAAAAAATAACCCAGATTAGCCAATAAAATCTAAACCAGGCCGCCTCCTCTTCGGCTGAGAGGTTTCAGAACATCTGAAAGAAGAATGTGGAAATTCTTGATGAGTGTTTATAGAGAGAAAAATTAATCAGCTCACTTCAAACTGTCTGATTAAATCTTAAATCTGAAGCCTGGAGTAAAGAAACCGAGTCTTCTGATCCAGATTGAGCCTGGAAAACTGGGTCAGCCTTTCTGGTTTAGAACTGGTCTGTTTTAAATCCTACTCAAAGAAAGGGCCTTTATGTGCTTATAGCCATAAACATCCTGTGTCTCCAGGATTGAAGGACTAACGTCTCAGCAGGACTTTGAAAAACTACTTCCTGCTTCGTTCATCTTGAGTAGAATCTATCCTTCATAGATCTGCCTGGAAAGTGGATCAGACAGCTGCAGTTGACATGGGCAGTTCTAGACAGGGGCCAACCGGGGCCAGTGCCCCTGTAGATCATATCCTGGCCCCCGTTATTGGCCCTGTATTAAGGGCATAATACTCAAAGAAATTTTAATGATGATATGCACTAGAACAGACATGGTTACTGATGTTGTTCTTTTGATCTATTTCATTTCTTTCTTTACAAATTCTGTTTTACCATTTATCTAAAAACAACAAGGTGATAGCTTCAGTGGCATTGAGATAGGAACCCAGTTTTTATCTGCTAAATGTTTTTTTTCCAAAACAAATAATAAAAAAAAAAATACAGCTGAATTTATCAGTTTTTTTCTTGAGTTGTAATTCAGATTTTATAGAAAACTTAGATTAAGTCAAAAATATGTAAAATTCCTAAATTATGAATAAGATCTAATAAGACATAAAATTTTATTTAAACCTAACTGAAT